CGGCGCGGGCCGCGAGGGGCTGCCCGGCGGCGGAGCGCGGCCCGAGGTGCAGCGAGAGGCACCAGGCCCGGAGCGCGAGGAGTTCAGGCCGCGGATCGTGCCCTATGCCCGGGACCCCAGCAAACCGCACAGGAAGGTACTCAGGTGAGAACGCGTTCCTGCCCTAGGGCCCCGGCAGGCAGGGGATGGGCAGGGAATGACCGTTTGGAGCATCCCTGGCTGCCCTGAAGGAAATCCTGGAAGCAGGATATGCCAAAGAGGATGTGGTAAACACTGTACATGGGCATGACAGAAGTTATCACAACCAATCCCTTACAGGCAAGGAAACTTACTCCTTTTATTGCCTGTGTGCAACAAGCTTTGAAGAAGGATTTGATATGTTCCAATTAGTCTATTGATTAGCGAAATTCTGAATGGTTAATAAAAATGTGTATAACTTAATAGTGGTTTGCTCCAAATTATTATTTTAAGGCTTACACTTGCACAGATTTCTATCTTGGATGGATTATGTGAATATTCTTGAAGGTAGCAAGTAATTTTATCAAATGGAATTTTTACAAATGAGGCTCATTCTAAGGCTCTAGACTTAGGTTTAACTGTTTTAACCATTGGCGAACTTAGGAGGAGTTTTTGTTTGCTGGAGTCACCATGAGCCTGGAAAGCAATCCTGGTTTTTGTCATCCAGCTGTTTACGATGTAGGCCTATCCTTCCATTACAGAACTCGCTACATCCAGACAGAACTGGGATTTCATGAGAGACTCTTTGTGGCCGTGCTGACCTCCAAAGCCACCCTGAACACCTTGGCAGTGGCCGTGAACAAGACGGTGGCCCATCACTTCCCCCGCCTGCTCTACTTCACGGGGCTGCGCAGTGCCAAGGTGCCCCATGGGATGGTGCTCGTGGCCCATGGGGACGAGCGTCCTATCTGGCTGATGTATGAGACCATGCATTACATCCACCAACATTTCGGTTCTGACTATGACTGGTTCTACATCATGCAGGATGACACTTACACGCAGGCAGAACAGGTCAAGGCTCTGGTGATGCACCTGAGTATTAACCAAGACGTCTACCTGGGCCGAGCAGAGGAGTTCATTGGTGGAGATGAGCAGGCCCGCTACTGCCATGGTGGCTTTGGCTACCTGCTTTCCCGTAGCCTGCTGCTTAAGCTCCATCAGCACTTGGACAGTTGCCGCAATGAGATCCTCAGTGTGCGCCCAGATGAGTGGCTGGGACGTTGCATTATTGATTTCCTTGGCATCACTTGTATTTCTCAGCTCCAGGTACTAACCCCCTTTCCAGGGTTTTGTGTTTGCTACGTGTGACAAAGCATATGTCCTTATAGTCCCTGCTGCTCCATAGATGGGCTTTCTGTGAACCTCTACTGTGATGCACAGGGTGGGGAGTGGCCGCATGGGGTGACAGTGTGGTGCAGGACTGTAACCTAAGTGGAGAGGTTGGTGTCCATTTCTCTTGCAGCCTACTGGCAAATGATCATCCTGGGTGTTAGGAGACAGTTGGCATAAAGAGCATGTTGGTACCAAGATGCAGAAAAACCATGTAGCGGTTGCACATGCAGTGGGTGGGCAGCCCACTGTATGTTAGACCCTGGATGTTGCAGCCGGCAGAGAGGGGTGGATGCATGCCTGACATGAAGAAAGGCTTCACTGTGAAATCTACAGTTCCAGGCCAGTTTTGTGACTCTTGTCCACTGCAGGGCCAGCACTATCACACCTATGAATTGGCCCAAAATGCCAAGCCAGAAAAGGAGGATGAAGAGGAGTTCCAAGCAGCTCTTGCTGTGCACCCTGTTTCCGACGTGACTCTTCCAGGTACGTGGGTGAGGGATATCAATGGATGCTCTTGGGCCAGACAGGATTTCCTTATGTTCAGCTTTGTGAGAGGGCATTGCTGCTTCTGTTGCATGTGTTACTGTGAGCCAGGGAGAAGCAGCATGTCTGACACAACTGTATCCAAAGCTGCTGATGTGCTGCTCTTGGGACACAGTTCTAGGTGGTGAGGCAGGTCTGTGTCAGACATGGACTAGGCCTCTGGAGAAAGTGGCAGTGATCTGTACGGGTTCTCTCTTGGTGCAGATGCAGATCAGGAACCTGACATCACTGACCCCTGCAGGCGAGGCAGGCCTGACGTGGCCTGTGGGTATTAATGCCCCATTTCTTCCCAAGTCCCGTTTTGAGGTAATCAGCTGGGACTACTTCACTGAGCAGCACCTCTTCTCCTGTCCTGACGGTTCCCCAAAGTGTGAGCTCTCTGGAGCAAGCAAAGCAGACGTCAGTGACATCATTGAGTCAGCCCTCGAGCAGCTCAACAGCCGCTACCAGCCTCTGCTCCGCTTCAGCAAGCGGCAGTTGCTGAATGGCTATCGGCGCTTTGACCCCACGCGGGGCATGGAGTATACACTGGATCTCCTGCTGGAGGCAGCAACCCAAAAGGGTCACACTCATGTCCTGGTCAAACGAGTGAGCTTGGTGCGTCCCCTAAGTAAGGTTGAAATCATTCCCATGCCGTATGTAACAGAGGCCACACGGGTGCAGCTGGTGCTTCCCTTGACCGTGCAGGACCTGGATTTTGTGGCAAACTTCCTGGATATGTTTGCTATGAACACTCTGGACACCCACGATAATGCCTTGCTGACCTTGCTTTTTATCTATCATCCCTATGATGCCCAGCGAGTCAGCCAGGTAGATGTTTTTGCTGGAGTCAAAGCTATGGTGGGAGAGCTGGAGAAACGCTATGCAGAAGTTAAAATTCCCTGGATTAGTGTTAAAACTGAGGTGCCATCTCAAGTGAAACTCATGGATATAGTGTCAAAGAAGCACCCTGTGGACACCCTGTTCTTCTTAGCCAGTGTCTGGACAGAAATCAACATGGAGTTCTTGAACCGTTGCCGCATGAATACTATCAGCAACTGGCAAGTCTTTTTTCCAGTGCACTTCCAAGAGTTCAACCCTACACTGGTGTACCGTGGTGAGCAAGCTGCTTCCTCTAGCACCGACTTCCTGAGGGATGGTCATTTTGATAGACATTCCTTTGCCGAGGCCTGCTTCTATAACTCTGACTATATGACAGCACGTACCAAGCTAGCAGCTGACATCCTAGACCAGGATGAGGTGCTGGAGAGCATGGAGGTATTCGATGTCTTCCTCCACTATTCTGGTCTGCACCTATTTCGGGCTGTGGAACCAGGGCTAGTGCAGAAATACGCACTGAGGAGCTGCAATCCACGACTGAGTGAGGAGCTATACCATCGCTGTATGCTCAGCAACCTGGAGGGACTTGCATCCCGCTCACATTTAGCCATGGCCCTCTTTGAGCAGGAACAGGCCAACAGTACTTGAGAGAAACATCATGAGCATTTTAGCACCTTAACACTTGGCACTTTCCACCCTCTTCCCAGCCTGGCTGTGGAAGAAGGGCATGATGGGTCAAGGGAAGACTTCCACAGCCTTGCTCTGAGGCACAGAATGAGCCGCGGAGAGAGGCTGCTTGTTTTTTAAAAAATAAATAAATGATTCTTTCCAAGCAGACTAATGTGATTATTTGCAAGTTGTATAGATTCTGTACTTACAGGGCTTCAGTCTGGGATGAAGGATGTAAAGCAAATGCAGAGTCCAACTGACTTTAAAACACCCAATACTGCTGGGCAGTGCAGAGAGGCAGTGAATGAGATGATTTTTTTACTGGAACAAGACCAGCTTGGCTGTGCTACAGTCAGCACTGTCCTTGTATCCTCTTGTGTACTTGTGTCTCTGTGCACTCCTAAAACTGTGGCTGGTGTGGTTTGCTGCTGGACAGAACTGTTCCCTGCACTTTCCCTTTGCTATGTTTGACTTCTCTGCAACGGCAGAACATCCCTTCTGTGTAATGCAGGAAGGGAAAGGAAGTGCAAGTTCGCTTTGGTGTGTATCAAACTTTCTTCAGTTAGCTTAACAGCACAGTATTGTAATACCTTGTATGCCCTAGAGAGGAACTAGGTGTTCTCTGAAGGTCCACCAAAACTAGTCTTAGATTCTGCACCTGGAGCAAAGTTTTATACTTGCAAAGGAAAAATGTGTCACTTCATCTTCCAGTTAAATCTGCTAGTCATGCTATCTGCTTAACAGTTCGGTTTCAACTTGATTACCTGATTTTCTTGATTACCTGTTGAGTCTCTCTACACTTACTGAACTTTAAAGCTGTGAGCTTGTGCAAACATTTCAAAGGATGCAAAATTCTTTAGTTATCCCATGCGTTTCAGCTGTGCTCCTGATTCTGCCTAACTTCAATGTATGGGGTTTTAGGACCAACAGGTATATCCATGGGCTTGCTGCATGCCTGTCAGTGGAAGTAGGCAGCCGTTGGTTTATCTTCAGCAGCTGTCAGTCCCACTTGACTTGAGTTTTCATGTAGTCTATGTTAAATAGGTGAAAACCTAACGTTAGACTGTAAGCAACTGAAATTGGAAATGCTAACTTATAATTTACTGTAACTGGCATTACTGTCTAACTAATAATAGTCAAGGTTGCTGTTCAGCAAATAGGAATTGGCAGAATTTCATTTCAGTCCTTTAAATTGCACATTGCTTTAAGGACGATCATAGGGCCATTGTAGACTTGAAAATCATTTGATTTAGGGGCAATGCTCTAACTTTCAGAAAGCTTTATAACTTCAAATCTCTCAAGTGAGGATGGGTTGGCATATCAAGAAGTGCCATTTGTTTGATATAAGCACTTCCAATTAGATCCTTGGGAGGATGGTTCTCCACCCAGTGTTGTTCTACACTTCAATTTATGATCTGAAAGCACGTGCAAGATTTCTACTGATAAAATCTTCAAGGCATACGAATGATTGAAGCAGAAAACAGCAATCAAGATGAGATAACCCCAGAGAGCCCTCTGTAGCAGGGTAGGCCATTCAAATGCTTTTTCTTTCCAGCCAAGTGCAAGCTTTCATACCCGGAGAAAGTGAAGACATGCTGCTCTGCCAAAGAGGACTACATTATAAATAAAAGTCTGAATAGAGCTTGACCATGTTAATGTGAAAATAGCTTAATCTGACCTGCACCAGAGCTACAAGTCCCAGAAGCTTACACTTAAGGTTAAGGCATGAGATAATCTATACAGGTAGACACACTGTTGATCGGAGAGACCAATAAGGCTCCTGGTAGCCTAGCTCTTGTTGAAGGCTTAAAACAAGTAAACAGAAATGACAAAAAGTTAACATTTTGTCTTCTGATGGTTGGAAAAATATTTTGCAATGTGAGATGCAGAACTCTACTTAGAAAGAAGGTTCTGAGGTGATCCTTGCTGGTTGAGGAGCATTGGGTTAGGAATTATTTAGGCAAACATAAATCTATGGGCCCAGATGGGATGCAGCCATGACTGCTGAGAGAACTGGCGGGGGTTATTGCTCAGACGCTCTCCATCATCTTCGAGAGGTTGTGGAGAGCAGGGGAGGTGCCTGAGGACTGAAAGAAACCAATGTCACACCAGTCTTCAAAAAGGGCAAGAGGGAGGACCTGGGAAATTACAGGCCGGTCAGCCTCGCCTCCATCCCTGGAAAGGTGATAGAGCAGCTCGTCCTAGAGACCATCTCCAGGCATGTGAAGGAAAAGAAGGTGATTGGGAGTAGTCAGCATGGATTCACCAAGGGGAATTCGTGTTTGACGAACCTGAGAGCCTTCTATGATGGGGATGACTGGCTGGATGGATGATGGGAGAGCCATAGATGTTGTATACCTTGACTTCAGCAAGAGTTTTGACACCGTCTCCCATAACCTACTCATAGGAAAGCTCTGGAAGTGTGGACTGGATGAGTGGACAGGGAGGTGCATTGAAAGCTGGTTGGATTGCAGAGCCCAGAGGGTGGTGATAAACAGGGCCAGATCTAGCTGGAGTCCTGTGGCCAGTGGTGTCCCACAGGAGTCAGTACTGGGCCCAGCACTGTTCAGCTTGCTCATCAGTGAATTGGACGAGGGCACAGAGAGCACCATGAAGAGGGATTTGGGAGTCCTGGTTGACAACAAGTTAACCATGAGTCAGCAATGTGCCCTCGTGGCCAAGAAGGCCAAGGGGATCCTGGCTGCATCAGGAGGAGAGTTGCCAGCAGGTCAAGGGAGGGGATCCTGCCCCTTTGCTCAGCTCTGGTGAGGCTGCACCTGGAGTATTGGGTGCAGTTCTGGGCTCCCCAGTACAAAAGGGACATGAAACTTCTGGAGAGGGTCCAGCATAGAGCAACGAAAATGATGAAGGGACTGGAGCATCTATTGTATGAGGAAGGACTAAGCGAGTGGGGCCTGTTCAGCCTGGACAAGATTGAGAGGAGATCTGATCAACATGTACAAGTACTTTAGCAGTGAATGTAGGGAGGATGGGGCCAAACTCTTCTCATTGGTGGCCAGTGATAGGACAAGGGGTTATGGGTACAAGTTCAAACACAGTTAGGTCCATCTCCATATCAGGAAGACATGTGAGGGTGCCAGAGCCCTGGAACAGGCTGCCCAGAGAGGTTGTGGAGTCTCCTTCTCTGGGGATCTTCAAAACCCACCCAGATGTGACCCTGTGCCATGTGTTCTAGGCATCCCTGCTTGAGCAGGGGGGCCAGATTAGATGATCTCTAGAGGTTCCTTCCAACCTTAACCCCATTCTGTGATTCTGTGATTTGATTACAGTGTATAAGTACAATCATCAAAGATACTGGATTCCACAGAGCTTTTTAATCAGGTGGATAAAAGGCATAAGAACAATAACACCAAAATTAACCACTTTAAACTGCAACAGGTATTTCCCAATGAAAACAAACACGTTTAAGTGATTAGCCACTGAAATTACAGAGCAGTAGAAGTCATAATTTATTTAGTTTGTGTTACCGAAGGTGCATGTGAAATGACTTGTCATACAGAGGTAGGCAAACTGGATGGTCCCGTGAGGCCTTAAATTTCATTACTGTGAATACATAGTGAATCAAAGTTGCAAAAAGAGAAACCTGAAAAAGGCTATTAAATGCAAAGTCAAAGCCACTGCTTCCATCACTGGAGGTTGCTGAATCACAAACACCATGAGCCAGGAGGACATTCAGGGAAGTATCATTATATGTCTGCTTTATTTTCATTATCTGTTTCTAGGCGTTCAGTGTTGGCACAGTCAAAAAGTGAGTCAGATGGGCTTATGATTTGACCTTGAACCACCATTTTTATGTCACCAACACAAAAGGATCTTTTTCAAATACATGCTCCAGTTCAGCGAGAACTGGTGGACTTGGTACGAGGATCATGATACAGAATCCTTGGTCTGTACAAATAGCCCAGGAAGACAAATCGCCTTGTCATCTTTGGCCTTATAAAGCTGAAAGGACACAATGCCTTTTTAGTAGTTTACTGTCTTCAGCTGTGATTACTCTGTTGTGTTCCAGGTTTGCTTATTCCTGTGTGTACTTAACTTTCTTCAGGCTCCATGTATTCTTGGATATATTTCTTTCTCTTCCATAAATTGGGTGTGGTGGCTTGGTCCTCTGAATGTCCTGGACAGCTTGCTTACCCTACTGGAATAGTGTTTGCTGATCAGAGAGAAATGCGAGATTGCAAACTCAAAGTGTATGATCAGTTTTCTCCCCAGCTCTGGGATGCAGATGGTGTGTGTCTTCAAAGTGAGGGGGATGTGCAGCTGCTTTCATTTGGACAACTCCCCTTCTCCTCCTGTCGCCATGCTCGGCGGGTGAGCTGTGTGTGCACAGTCCACTGGACAGCTGTGCATATCGCTGCCACAGCTGCTGGGAGCTGGATTTGGTCACTCCAAAGTGGTGCACAGCAAACTGCTGGCACTCAAGAAAGAGAAGGGAGAGCAGGGAGAAGAGAGCAACGGTGACCCTCTTGTCCACAGGGAAAAGGCATGACAGGCTGCCCATAGACTAACCCACAGGTGCGCATTTCTCAAGGAAAATGAAGCATCTTTCTCAGTAGATTCCTCCATTCTTCACTACGGAATGTAGACTTGCTTTCAGGAGAATTTGCTGGCTGCTATCTGCCTTGAGCAATACTTACACACCTATCATAAGTCATGTCGTATGTACTCCTCTGCTGCTTTTCCTCACTCCTTCCCTTAACTCTTCCTTCAAAGTTACCATTTTATCCTTCTCTCTTTCCAATGCTTCCTCAACCTCCTCCAGATCATTCTTTGAAAATGGACTTCATAAATGTCTTCCACTGGATATTCACTAAATCATTTTCCTTTCATTTTTCTGTTACTAACTAGGGCCCTATGAGGCACTGTATGGGGCCCACTACTTCACCAGCTCCCGATCCCATGTCCCAACCAGACCCCATATCCTCACCAGCTCTCCCAGAACGGACTGGGTTCCTGCGAGAGGGCCACCCATGACAGACCTAGAACAGAAGTTCTAGGCACAGACCTGTTTAGTCGGGAATAGGGCTCCTCCCGAGCTCTGCTCCGCTCCAGAACGCTGGTGGTTCTGGATCCCACCACACAGCGAGGCCGGAGGCAGCGCAGGTGGC